AGAAGAGAGAGGAGGGGAGGCAGGAAAAAGGAGGTCGGGGTTTCCAGAAACTGGAGGAAATCTGCTGCAGGAAAAGTGTGCAGAGGACAGGGCTGGGCGGTGCCCCCCCGGGCCACAGGGACCATGGAGATGTCAACCATCTTCCTGACATTTCTAAGAGAGAAGCAAGAAATGCATGTGCTGCGTCTGTTGGCCAAGGGGCTCTGCTGGGAGCGGCCTTTACTGCACAGCTCCAGGTGCTTCTGGGGCCTAAAGCGTCAGTGTACTTTGCACATTTCGACAGACTTCTCCTCCAGAGAGAACGAAAAAGCCAAAAGAGCAGGCTCAGAGCATTCCTCCTGCTCCTGAAAGCAGGTTCCGCGCTGCAGCGCGGGGCTCTGTCGGCATCTCCCGGGAGCGCCGCCGAGCCAGGACGTGAACTTCACCAGGCGCGCGCTGCTCTGTCTTTAACCAGCAGCTTGGGAAGCCCTGAGGGAGGGTGTGACTTTTTCTCTCTCAGCACCACACCCTCCATTTTTTAATTTTAATTTTTAGCTTTTACAGTGCCTGTTTTTTCAGTTTGTCCCTATTCATTGGCCATTGACTGCCACTGTCCTTCATGGGAGGATAAAAAGATGTACTCCAGGGAGGGTCCAAAAAGGGCAAACATTCACCCCCAAACCCTTACTGAAAGGTGAGGTACTAGCTAGCTTTTTCAACAAGGATTTCAGATTTTTAGGCTGACTTCTAGATTCCTCTCAAGTTACTAATCGTCTCCCAAATAACAAAGGTAAGAAAGGATTTTTAAGTTACTTAATTTTGTCGGTTTGTCAATTCTGTCTCTTTGAAATAAAAAACAAATTTAAACCCTACATTTCAAAACCTTTAAAGATAATTCTTAATGCCATTTTCATAAGGCATTTCTTGATCATCTACATTGGAACTTGTTCCCTCCCCTAAAATTTCTAAAATTTTACTGACGCTGACTTTAAATTTTAATTAAAACTGAAGCCACATGATACTAAAACTCTCAATGAATTCAGGTCAGTAAGGAAAGAAAAAAATCAGTCACTTTAGGAGAAATAAGACATTCAAGTAGGTTCATGACCATTTTTTTCCTTTCTGGAATGCTTTTCTGCTTTATGAAGTGAATCGGCTGATAAGCATTATTTATAAGACCTGAGTTTGTTCTAACCTAACAGAAATTTGAGGAAAAGGATATTTACACCAGAACAAAAATAGTTATTTTCCCAACTATAGAAAAGAGAAAAAGGAAAAGAGACCTACAGAATTTTGCTCTGCTTAAGATAAATTTCCCTTTGGTCTGAAAGATGACGCTCTCCCTTCTTGGCGCACAGTGGAAATCGGGGTAGGATCTGCACCACAAGTGAAGACTAAGGCAAGATTCCAGAGCTTGGGAAACATCTAACTCCCTATGGCCGGTTTGAATCTTCATGATTCTGCATCAGTGCAACACTGTACTAGAAACCAGGCCCCCTAGTGGATCCAAAGAGTTAATGATTTCAACACTGAGATACAGGAAAGTGAGTATGTGGAAGAAAGGTTTTTGGTGATTCAGTCATTCATAACAGCACTGATCATACAGCAGACACTGCTCTGAGCAGGTTATAAACATCAATTCACATAATAAGCATGACAGTGAATGAAGGAGGTACTATTATCCAAATTTTAGAGACACAGAAGCAGGTGTAGGAGGTTAAGTGATTTGCCCAAGGTCCCCCGGTTGGTGGGGACAAAGCAGTTCCCTCCAGAGTCCCGGTTCTGAACCACCTGCCACCCTGTGCCGCCGGTGAGCTTGGCTCATCAGATTAATCCCAGGAAGAATTTATTCAAATATCTGGCAATGTTCTGCTCTCCATAGGCTGGCCTTACCGTAATTTTAACCTTCCAGAATAGAGCTCTGGATCTATTTCACTAAGACAAAACACAGTGAAAGAGAAGGAAAAAGAGAAGTCAAGCGCCACAGAGTAACCAGAGCCACCAGGAAGTCCGTCCAGTTTACTCCACAGGAGACAACCTCCCTGAGGGGCTGCCCCACCTGTTTGACCATTTAGATTATCAATTCAAAGTTGATTTGAATCAATCAATTTGAATCAGCCTAATGACTTGTCCAGACTAGACAGTACAGAAACAAAAGCACATTAGAAGGGAAAAGCAACAAAAAGCAAGTAGAAACAGAAGAACTGACAGTCATCACCGAAGGAGGAGACAGAAAACATTTAAGACTAGACATAAATCTTACAAGTAGTTTAAGCCACCTGACAGCCTCTGTGGAATTAGGTCAGTTAGTAAACACACAGCACAGGGAATAAGGTCAACAATATTATCATCACCTTGTGTGCTGTGTAACCTACAGAAATACCACAGCACTATGTTACACGCCTGAAACTACTATAATATTGTAAGTCAACTATACTTCAGTTAAAAATAAAGTAAACACATGAACGAATGAATGAGTGAATGAATGAAATGCAGATGGGAAAGCTGAGGGTCAGAGACTGCTTCAGCATCCAGTTCAGGACAAGCCGGGATCTAGGTCTCCTGACCTTCAACCTAGGGTCCTTTAATAAATCATATTAGTAATGGTGATTCTCAATCTTTTAAGACTCCATTTATTAAAAAAAATTTTTCTTCCAGTTTTATTGAGATATGATTGGCATACAGCACTGTTCACGTTTAAGGCGTACAGGATAGTAACTTGTCTTACAGACATCATGAAATGATGACCCCAGTAAGTTTAGTGAACATCCCTCATCTCATATGGATACAAAAAAAAAGACAAAGAAAAAAATGTTTTTCTTGTGATGAGAACTCTCAGGATTTACTCTCTTAACAATGTTCATATGACATGCAGCCATGTTAATAATATTTATCACGTTACACATTCCAGCTCTAGTACTTACTTATCTTATAACTGGAAGTTTGTGCCTTTTGTCTGCCTTCATCCAATTCCCTTACCTCGGGTAACCACAAATCTGATCCCTTTTTCTATGAGTTTGTTTTTGAAGAATAATTGACCTGCAACACTCTGTTGTAAGGGCAACACTGAGACCCTTTAACTATATTTAAAATACTGTTTATTAGCAGAAAGAAAAATATAGATGTTGAAGAAATGAGATTTTTTTCCTGGATAAAGAACATACCAAGAAAATAACCACTTTGTAGGAGTGGAATGAAAGGAAATTATTTAGTATGGTGACAGCCCACAGAGCATGTTAATAGACTTATTGTGATCGCTAACGTATTTTATGTAATGCTGATATGTCAGATCTGCACGTTCAGTTACAGTAAGTACCCCAGAGGAAACGTCTCAAACTGTGATTTCTGTAAAGTCAGAAAAGTCTGAACTCAAAGATGTCATCAAGAAGTTGATGTCTGAATTGCATGTCACGTTTTATTAGAATGGTATATCATAGTCACTTATCGGAATAATATGTCTTCATCAGTCACTGAGGCATCACATTGCTTTGAAAGTTCTGAGACAATTTAAGGAAAGTAGAAAAAGAATGCATCAGTACGACATTAAGTTCCAGAGGGGGAGCAATGAAGTAGCATTCAGTTGAAAAGGTGGATGGTTGAGAGCTGTGTCCTGTAATTCAATTCATTCAGAAGCCAATGCCTTAGCATTTTCACCCTCACTCACGGGGACTAACCCAGTACTTTAAAATCTCCTTCATAATAGGCACAGCATAAGCACCAGAGCACAGATTTCAGAAGGAATAGGTGTTATAGAAGATTTATTAGACGCTAAATGAATTTAGAGGCAGACTCATGTTCTTCAAAAACAAATCAGGGGCAGCCCCCAGCTTCCAGAAACAGAATGTAGCTTAGAGATATTTACAGACCTCACTGCAAGCAAAACACAGCTGATCACGCTCTGGGAAGATTAGAAGAATAAGCAAGTGCCAAGAAATAACTCCTGAAGTTTACAGCAGAAAGCACGCCCGCCAGGTAGGGAAGCTCATTTCTACAGACAGCCCAGAGCCTCCAAATTCAAGTGAGCAGCGCCTTCGGAGCAGCCACCTGGAGAGGCTGGTGCTTGATGTGATGGTTTGAACACTTTTGAGAATCCTCTGGTTAAAGCGACAGTGTGTGTGTATGTTTCAGCGTGTGGTTTAACCACCAGTTCTGAAGGTGGTTGCTGCAGTATTGCGATCAGCGGTCAGATTCACCCCCCTAAGACTCCGATTTCCCGAGGTGACACAGTTGTCCCGGTTCCTGCTGTACGACCTGCTGAAGGCTACCACCACCCCCACATACCAGAGCCCAGTGTGTGGCAGGCACTGTGCTGAGAGCCTGACCTACAATCTTCAGGGCTCTGTGTTAGGTTGGTGTTATTATCTCCATTGCATAAATCAAGAAACTGAGGCTTCAAAGTCTTGAAGTCACGTGGTTAGTTAGTGACAGGGCTGGGGTCTAAACCCAGGATTGCCTGATGCTGGACATCATGCTGTTACTATTTCAAAGGAAGGAAGACCTCTTACGACTCTGGTAGGGACCTGTGAACATGTGCTCTACCAGGCACTCGTGCTAGAATTCCTCGAGAGACAGGCAGACAGACAGGAGATGAGACAGGGCTAGTTTCATTTTATCCCCAGGTGATTATGAAAGGATAACACTGAGGGGTGAAAAGGAGGTGGTGAGTGGACAAACACCCACTTTCAACACCCCGCTTCCGTCCTGTGCAAAAAACTTCTGACCTGCTGCCAAATCTTCAGCGGAGTGATTTTAAAATCAGAATGGGAGTCACTGAAACTACTGTATAGAAGGGTATTTAGACTGAAAGCGTTACATGTATAACTAATGAATCTCTCATTCCCAAATGTTAACTGCTGGTAAATCTGGCCACAGTAATTTTTAAAAACACAGCTAGATTGAATTACTGTGCCAAATGTGTGCTCACTGTTTATTAACTAGATATTTAAATCTCTGGCCTTAAGGATAATTTGTCACAAGTGTCAGCCTTCTCAGAGTTTCGAATAAAGACAGAGAAAAGGTACCTGGTGGTATTTCTTTAGGATGTTGTGCATTTCGGCCACATCTTCACTTGTGATGGTCTTGATGATATATCTCTTGTCGTAGGAGGTGTGGAACCGAGCTCCGCTGCGGGCCTGGGAGTCGTTAGGAAGGGGTGCGCTCCTGGTCAAGGAATTCTTCCCGTGGGATGGGTGGGGGAGGGAAGAGAGAACTGGTTAAAGATGCAGCTTTCTAATTTCTGGGTAATTTGTTGTCCCCACAAGTTTTCAGAGTCATTTGTGTTTGGAAAAAGTTGGTAAATAGGATGACAACATTTTCTACTCATCAATACCCAAATGGTAAGGTTTTCAAATGAAATGAAAACAGTGATTCTGACGTCTAGAATTGTAACCAAAGTTATTTTGTTCACCTTGTTCTTTTGACTTGGACAAGAGTTCAGTTTTCCTTCTGGATAAAATTAGGCTCCAGCCACGAAAGAATCCTTGACGTTCACTGAATGCTTCCCTACACGACAGGTATTCTGTGAAGCATCATGCACTGGGGACTTCTCCCAATTCTGAGAACCTTCCCACGAAACGATCACTATTGGTATCACCATCGTGTTACAGATGAGGAGATGCAGATCAGAGAGGTAGAACAATCAGGCGGAGGTCACACAGCTAGTAGCGGGAAGAGACAGAATTCCATCTCCAGTGTGGCTGGCTCAGAACCCAAATTCTCAACTAGTCAACTACTCAAGCAGTAGATGCCTCCATCAGTAAACTACACTGCCTGTGGCTGCCCTGGGAGGGCCTCAGCAGGTGTCAGAAGACTATGATCTGGTCCCTCCTCCACCCCATCTCAGCCATTTTTCTGAGCATGATTCATCTCCTGGAGGGGATGAGGTGGGGCTCCTCTGGCATATTTCACTCCAATATCTAGTTATTTCATCCCAGGTTCACGCTATCCACGCTCCAGCTAGCCAAGGCTACCCTCCTCTCACAGGTGACTCTCCTGTTTGAATCTCCTGCTTTCTTAGAGCCTCCAGGAAGTCTACCCTGCTTTCCCCCAACCATTTTGCACTGGTCACCTGGACTACTGGGATTAGCAAACCCTAAGCATCCAAGGGGGTCCGGTCTTCACCTCTGCTACCTGTGCTCGAGTACTAAATTCACTCCCCGCCTGGCCCCACTGGATGGCGTATGAGGGATTCAAAGGGAAAGACATCCCTCTTCACCTTCTCCACAAGTGGGCATTCAGAAACACTAGTGAATCAAACCCTGTCTAGATGCCTTTCGAGAGGCAGGTGGTATCACCTCATCTTGACTGTCAAGGAAAGAGTTCCTGTCTGTCCAGTATACTCAAGCCTCCTTATCCTTTCCTTCTTTTCCAGATGAACTTCAACAGGATTTGGCCGTATGAGGTCTGATTACACTGTCGTGGTGCAGGAGCTGGTGGACGCCCTTCTTGGGCAGAGGGAAAGGAACGTGTTCCCCTTTCCAGGACCCCAGCCTTGCAGCCACTGCCCTTACTTTCTGAGACAGCATATCCTGATCTGATGTGAGTGCACACACTTGCCAATTAACTGAATGTGCTTTCCTTAGCTCATTAGAAAACTCGAGAGAAGGGGAGGAAAATCGATGTAACCCCCAATGACTTTACGTAGCAGGATCTGGCCGTGTTCATTGATTAAGACAACTGAAATTAGCTAGACTGAGAATCACAAAAAGGATTTTCAGGATGAAAACGGAGATATTAAAAAAGTTTAGTTCTTTATATTGGCTTTTCCCTCAGAAATAAGTCTCCTTTACACCACTTCCTACGAAGAATAAAAAGGAAAAAAATCGAAGTGAATGCACCTTTTTGGGGTTTTAAACACTAGCCAAAAAAAGCAATCACTGCTCTTGGCTAAAGGTCTGAATTTTTTCCTCTCAAGCGTTAAAACAAGAACACTAGGAACGGTAAGACTACAAATTATTTTCAGGCATAAAAAAAAAATCAAAGCGAGAACAATCAACTTTATGAAAGCCAGGTGGACCAGGTTATAAACATCGTAAAACTGACAATACATGTAAGTTAACTTTTGGGGGGGGAGGGGGAGGGGGGATTACTAAAGGGTACTCATATTCAGCAAAGGACAGAATCAGAGCAGCATCAGTTCCACAGACTTTTTCTCAAGTGTTATTAGATACGAAAGTGCAGTGTTCCCTCATGGACCAGGGGAGAGAAGAGGGTTGAAAGCTGCAGCATCAGTGCTTCTCAAACTCTAACGAGCACCTGAGTAACTGGTGAGGGGGGTGATCAGGTGAGAATGCAGATTCTGATTCAGGTGTGGGGTGGGGCATCTGAAGAAGCAGATGATGCCGATACAGTGGGTCTGCAGAGCACATGTGAGAACCAAGAGCACCCGCACAGCGGCTCGACATGGTCTGTCCGGTGCAGAGCGTGGGGAGTCCAGTGAATTAACTGCTTTCTATACAAATGCACCTGCCTGAACCTCACCTTTCCCATTATAGTCTCTCCAACCCTGGTTTGGTTAAAATGGGAAATTCTACAGTGAAGATTAATAATTCATTGCATTCACTGGATTCATTCATTCAAAAAATGTCTAATAATACCATGTTCAAAGCAATATATGGGCTTAGGGAAAGGGCTAGAAGGCAGAGTTGAAAATGGACTAACTCCTTAGCTCAGATGCTACCTCCTTCCAAATTCTTCACCTTTCCCTTCAGTTTCAAAGACATTGATAATTATTTATTACAGACTTTGCACAAGGATATTGGCCTCCCGTAATGGCCTGGAATACAAAACTTTACAAATTCTAATCTTCATTCTGCCTTAACTGAATTTTTCTATAATCACCTAAGTAGTGCCAAGCCACAATTTCTACTTCAGTGGGTGGAAGAATTTTTTTCAAAGCTCTTGGTTTTCCAGTAACTCGTGAAGTTAGGAACAGACACACTTTGTCAAAATTTAGAACATATCTTTTATAATCACTATGAATATAAAAATACATGAATCAAACCTACTGAAAGCCTTAGGCAAGTAGACAATCAGAAAAGTGAACGCAATTTTACACAAAATGTGTGATCCTTAGAATGACTCTAAGACCTGGAAAAAAACATCCACATTGGTATTTCTTTCCACAACATATGAAATAGAAAAAGTCAGGTGCATTTTCACACTTGAAGATAATGAAACTGGGGTACAGTGGGGTGAAGTGACATGCCTAAGACTCCTCTCCAGAAGCTTCCTGGGAGGTAACCAAAAAGGGCAATTTACAAAGACAAGGCTAAGCTTTTGCCTTTAATTAATTCCACAATCATCGACTTTTGAAACCTCTGAAATAAGGCAGGTTGTGTGTGTGTGTGTGTGTGTGTGTGTGTGTGTGTGTGTGTGTGTGTGTGTGTGTGTGTGTGTGTGTGTAAAGGCAGTGCTGAGTAAGGCAGGCTGCTGGTCTGGGACCTAGAAAATTCTCTCCACTCATCAGCCCTTGGAGACATCATTCAGCCTCTTTGAACCTCAGTTCCTGGGACTGTAAAATGAGGGAGGGTAAGCCCAGGGGAGAGGGCGGGCTGAGCTGGATTCTCTCCCTCAGACCTCCTGCAACTCTGAGAATGTATTTCCTCGAAGACATGGCACACATGGCCCTTCGAAGGTGATTTGATGTATGCCAACAAAGTCCAGTCAGAAGAGAGTCCAGCCACCAGGCGCCATCTCAGCAGGGGCATAAGGGTGGCTCAGGGCACCTGGGCCAGTGTTAAAGAGGAGATGATGATACTTCTTCGAGAAGCATGGAAATAACACATTAGAGTTCCCAGGGGCACTCAGGACGACTCCAGAAAGAACGAGGACATGGATATACATCGAACGTAGCCATCGGGCGGCTGGGAAAATCTGCAACCTTAGGGAAACCGAATACTGAAATTCCTTAGCGCCCTTTGTTCTAAAGAAAACGAGCACTGTGGCCTCACACAGGATGTCTGCGAGGCCAGAAACAGCCTGGGAGTGACCTCCAGAAGCCCCCAAAGGCCCCCTTTGTTTGTAAATAAATCTCATAATCAAAGAGCGTGACAGTTGGAAGTAACCCTGGAGATCATCCCAAAGCATCCAATTTACAGACCAGGAAACAGAAAC